TAAAGTGAGGTTTCAGATTTTATAAATAAACATACATGAAAGAAGTATTAGTGATAGAATGTAACCATACAATTTGAAAAGTCTTTGTTTACCACTATCATCCGTCCAAAGATGTTAACTGTCCCGTGTCCCTCCGCCCAATGTCCATATACCCCTGTCGGCTTGTCTCTATGCCTGCAGGTGAATGTTTATGCCATTACAAGTTTTGTGAGAAGAGGATGTAGATTTCCATCTTTGTGACCCCAACTCACTCACTCACTCACTCACTCACTCACTCACTCACTCACTCACTCACTCACTCACAATGGTTTCTCATACACATTGTGCTTGTAAACCACTTAATGCGTTTCTGTCACAGAGCATGATGTCAATGTGATAACACACGTTCCGGTGACTAGTCCATGCCTGCCAAGTTAGCTGCCCTGTGTCTGCCTAGACTTGTCTGCATTACTCGCGTCTGCCTACCCAGTGTATGCTTACAATGTGTTTCCCTAGTCTGTGTCTGCTCACTCATTGTCTTATTGCCCAAACTCACTCCGTGTCTGCTTTGCCTTTGCTTGCTAAGCCCCTGTCATGTTTCTCTCTTGTTATCTCTGCTTGTTTCTACCTACCCCATGGTTGCCTATCCTTTGCCTATCGCTCCCGTGTAAACCGACCCTATACATACATACCTATCCCATGACTGCCTACCCTGTGTCTGCTTGCTTCAGTCTTCCCTATATCTGCCTACTCCGTATCCACCTGCCCTGTATCTGGCACACTGTGTCTGATTCCTTCTGCCTAGTCCGTGTCTGCCTACCCGTGTCAATCTGGCTTCAGTCCACACAGCGTCTGTCTACTCTCTGCATGCCTACCTGTACTTCTCCTGCTTGGCGGTGTACTGCTTATTGTAGGTCTCCTTGAACAGCTCCCACTCCGTGTCCAGTTCAGCCCGGAAACCCAAGGCCACCCCCAACAACACTGCAGCTAACGCCAGGCGGAACATCTGTCCATGATGAAAATCCATCACATGATACAAACTGGCAGAAATATCCTCTCTCAGTTCCGAAGAAAAGAAATTAGGGAGCATGGTAGCAAAAGTATATCTCGTTCTGGATACTACCACCCCATCTTCTGGAACGTCTGCGAATCTACATATTTCGATGGATGGTTCAAGTTATCGTTTCAGTAAATGAAACAGAATAGTTCGTTTTGACTTGTCTTACACCTATCAGAGGGGTACTCAAAGTACGTGATCTAGACTACCAGTTGTCGGACTTTCCTTTTTCTTGGAAGCCTCGGTGGCTGAGTGGGTTAGATCGCTGACTTTGTGTGCTGGCGATTAGGTGCCTCACTCTGGCAAGTGTGGGTTCGAATCCCGGACGGGACTCAGTCCCCAAAAAGTACGAGAATCTGTACTTTACTAAGAAAGTGTTATCCCAAATATAACATTTGTTACGTTCATTTTGAAGATTAATTGCACGGAGCTATTGCGTTTTGAAACTACATCGTTTACGGACTCTTTGTGAATAATAGGAACATGTTGCAGCATTAATCTCACTCTAACTTCCTATGGGGCGGTGGGTAGCCTAGAGGTTAAAGCGTTCGCTTGTCACGCAGGAGAACCTGGTTCGATACCCCACATGGGTACAACATGTAAAGTCCCTTACCGCTATGTTGCTGGAATAATGCTAAAAGCTGCGTTAACCATACTCACTCACTCACTAAATGCCTATGTTGTAGGTTGACTTTCCTCTATATAGGTGTGTATACTATGTTAATTCTATGTTAATTAAGATGGTGGGCGGTCGGGTAGCCTAGTGGTTAAAGCGTTCGCTCGTCACGCAGAAGACCCGGGTTCGATTCCCGACATGGGTACAATGTATAAAGCCAGTTTCTGGTGTCCCCCGCCGTGATATTGCTGGAATATTGCTAAAAGCGTCGTAAAACCATACTCACTCACTCACTAATTAAGATGGTGATTAATAATCGTATACGTAAAAGTAATCTTAGAATCTCAGTCTTAGAATTCATGCAATGCGTACAATTACAGGCATGTGTATAGGTATGTACTTACCGTGGTCAAATCGGCTAGTTTCACAAATAGTGGCGAGTGCTGAAGTAACACCAATATTTATATCTGTCGATGTTAGCTCGTGACCCCCACGTGTTCTTCGCCTGAGTTGGTCTCGTTACCCGCGATAAGAGTCAACTGACACCCATGATATGTGCACCACATGTGCAATTCACAATCTAATCAATGTTTCAAAAGTGCTTGTGATTAAAATTTTAAAAAATGTTACATGCGGAGATAGGGCCAGTTATACTTTCTGCCTTTAACTATAATGCATTGTGTTGGGTTCTGGTTGCATTCACAAAATAACAAAAATCCATTTGAGGGTAAGAGGTAAAGTTAACTAAAATAAAGTGTCCGCATGGCAGAATCATGGACTGTGGTCTGATGGATAGAGCCTCTGACAGAGTGAGTGAGTGACTTGGATTTAACGCCGCTTTTAACAGTATTCCAGTTATATCACGGCGTGTCAACCTAATGTGGGAGGAAAGCCCGAAGTGATGCTCGTCTCAGACGTTTACCATTCCGGTGAAACCCACGAGCACGGGTATTGTGCTGACAAACCTTGAAACATAATCGGGGCGAACCGGGATTCGAACCCACGATCATTGGTTTCTGCATGGCGTACCCAAGGGATGTAACTCTGCACAGCGAATCACGGCGCCTTAGACGACTGCCCCCCGTCCCTCTGTCCGACAGAAGAGCGAAGGTCGAGGGTTCGATCCCCAGCCGCGTCATACCAAAAGATGTTAGCAGATGGTACTTGTTGTTACCCTGTCTGTTACCCTAACTCCACATAAATGGGGCAAAACAAGGGCTGATCGGCCGTGTCTGTGTTGGGCATTCCTGTTAAACTGTGGCATTGTATCTCAATATAAGAGCTGACAATATAGAACCGACATGAGTCCGGGCTAGGACAAGCAGCTTATTACCCAAAGTCACTTCAATGGCTCAGTATATTATACCAGGTTACTTGAATTGCTCTGAATATTATGCTAAGTAACTTGAATGGCTCTGAATATTATACTAGGTTACTTGAATTGCTCTGAATATTATGCTAAATAACTTGAATGGCTCTGAATATTATACTAGGTTACTTGAATTGCTCTGAATATTGTGCTAAGTAACTTGAATGGCTCTGAATATTATACTAGGTTACTTGAATTGCTCTGAATATTGTGCTAAGTAACTTGAATGGCTCTGAATATTATACTAGGTTACTTGAATTGCTCTGAATATTATGCTAAGTAACTTGAATGGCTCTGAATATTATACTAGGTTACTTGAATTGCTCTGAATATTATGCTAAGTAACTTGAATGGCTCTGAATATTATCACATGTAAAGTTCTGAATATCAATTGAATGGCTCAAAATATTATGCTTAAAATCACTTGAATGTCTCAGAATATTATACTAAGTCACTGGAATGGCTTTGGATATTATGCTAAGCCACTTGAATAGTTAAGAATGTTATGCTTATTTATTGAATGGCTCTGACTATTATGGTAAGCTTAAGCTTTTGACCGAATACGATTCGGTTTATAATGACAGTCATGCAAATTAACCAGAATAGACTCGAAGAGAAGTAAGCATGAGGTCAGTCCGATAAGGAAAGAAAATGTATTTCCTTATACACAAAGTCTATCCTAATGCCCTTAGTTGCCTTAGTAACTCTGATGAAAGTCGGTAGAGTGTCTCCTCGGAGAGCGGAAGGTTGGTGGTCTGATCCCCGACCGCGTCATACCGAAAGACGTTATTTTTTGTTACCCTGCCTAGATCAGATGAAATGGTGTATTTGACCAAGTTACAGACACAATATATCCGTACCTAATACCATGTGTTTACTATTGTAAACCTATAGAAAGTGTGTTCTGTGTTGTGATTGGCTAATTTGGGTCACATGACCAAATGTCAAAGGTTGAAAATATGATTTGCATTCCCTGAAGCAAGCGACCGAATCACTGTGTAGGAATACATAATTACTCAGCATTTTTTGTATACTAATTAACAATGGACGCAAATTGAAATACAAAATTAACATTCATAACAAATATTTTGATTTTCTCTATTCATGGGAATTATTGGGATTTTAAATTTTTAATTAAAAAAAATTATAATGAAATAATTACCAAAATCAGAATCACCATAGCGACTAACGCGCTCCTGGCGAATCCTCAGATATCACTGTTCTGTATAACAAACGGCATAAACAAATTCCAAGACCAAGCCAATTCTTCAAGAAATGTGTTCATATAATTTAACGAAAAATAATATCGATTTTGGTTAAATTATATCGTCAGTTTTAGTTATAAAATAAAATGAAACGGCTATTCATGGACACTATTTATATGAATTTTCATTCGAGCCCCTCAAGCTAACGCTTTCGGGTCTCGAGATGAATTTCCAAGATGCAAATACTCGATAAAATCCCGGAAATAGACACACACATAGCTCGGAGTCAGTATACTGTGTCTGAGTGGGGTATTCATGTTAAACTGCGGCATGGTATCTCAGTGAGCTAGCACTATAAATCGGCATCAGTCCGGACTAGTACAAGCACGTCGCTATATAAGTGCAATAATCTTGGACGCGACGTTAAACCACATTTCACCACACCTCATCCCACAGATGACATCCTTACCTTGTCAGCTTGCTAAAGGTCCCACCACGGGACTATTAGTATCATGCATGAACATGTGCAGCTTTCAGTTGGTTTGATTGTTGATTAACGCCACACTCAGCAATAGTCCAGCTATGTAACGGCGCTGCAACTTTACGCGTATGTGTGCGATCATGTATATGACAAGTTTGTGTTGAAAAGGATGGAGCTAAAAAATTCTAACAATTTCGTTCTTTGATAATGAATATTTTATTGGAAAAAAAGTTACACATTGCCGGATCATTCTACAGATCTTGGCCAACAATGTCTCAGTGTGGACATCTTATGTGGTGACAGCTGCAGTTTACACAGTTGGGTAGCTGGCGGAGGTGGCGATGCCGCACATGTTGTTCATGTTCCTTGCCATCTTGATGTAGCCTTCCATGCCCCACGCATCGCCCCAGCTGAAATGATAATCATGATCATAATCATATGCAGCAAAGTGTCATATTAAAAGAGTGTCAATATTAAATAGCATAATTCTTTACAGGTTTTGCAGAACCTACAGTTTTAGCAACGCGATATGTTTACAAGTAACATGATACTAAAATTCAGTAAGAAATATTGTCAGTTCTCGTATTCCAAAATGTTATTAATAGGAAAGGCACATTGTGGTTGGTTGGTTGGTTTGTTGTTTTACGCCGCACTCAGCAATATCCCAGCTATATGACAGCGGTCTGTAAATAATCGAGTCTGGACCAGACAGTCCAGTGATGACTCACCTATTCTTGACAAGCCAGTAGTCCTTGTCCATATCGGTGCCGTATCCAACAACCAGCACGCCGTGATCCAGCTGGGTGCTGCTGCACTCGGGGTCGCTAGCAACAGAACAAAAGGCCTTATCACACAAGGTTTACTGAACAAATAAAATAAATTGATCATCAGACAATGTCCTAGGAACACCTGTAAAGTGTAGGTTCTTTGTTGTTTATTAGAAATTGATTGGGTATTTTGTCATTTTGTCATTTTCTTTTAACGTGTTACTTCTTTCTTCTGAGGAGCGGTCGGGTAGCCCAGTGGTTAAAGCGTTCGCTCGCCCCGCCGAAGACCCGGGTACGATTCCTGACATGGGTGCAATGCGTGAAGCCCATTTCTGGTGTCCCCCGCCGTGATATTGCCTGAACATTGCTAAAAGCGGCGTAAAACCACACTCATTCATTCTTCTGAGGTCTTCACTTGCCAGATCCAATCATGAAGGACATGTATGTGTTCTACGAGTTATGATTAGCACGTGTGTTCTTCTAAGAATCCATTTATGAGTAAGTTGTTTGAAGATGGCTAACTTTATATATGTTATGTTCTCTTTTGGACATATTATTTTGACTTAAAATCATGCAGATGGTTGCTTATACTTCCACTGGCCCAATCTTTGGAATCTTTACAGCAGTGTGTCTTTTGTTTCTACCTGTATACACCGCTCTCGTACAGCTGGAAGGACTGTTTGCTGGCGTCGATGGCGACGGAGATTGGCCCGATGGTTGCGGCAGCATTCTGCAGGGCCATTTCATTATCTTTCTCGACGTCAACGAAACCAGTGTCGGTGGCGCCCACGTTTTCACGCTTGAAATGGCACTTGCCATTCTGCAATATACATGCAAAGTAGTAAGTCGTGTCAAAGTAGACAATTATCACGAGAAGCTACTTGTCAGCAGAGAAATGAGGCACCATCTGTAACGGGATCACTCCTACCTTTGCCGTGTAGGGGTAGCTCTCCTCGGTGTCAACACCGTCGTTCATTTTAATGTATTCAAAGGCCTGGTCCATCAAACCACCCTGGCATCCCATGTTACCTGCAAAACAGTCACGGTCAGAGCTGTTTAGTACCAGAACTTAAACATGCGAAGACATCTTTATTGAACATCTCAGGAACGTCTGTAACCTAACGTGTTCTCTAAATCTAATAATAAAAAACCTCAATAAGAACGTATGGGTGCAAAAAGCAGATTTATTGCTGTGTAGGAGTTTCAAAGGTTTAACAGTAAGTGTTCAATCTCTAAAAGGTTCCGCCTAAAGATACTCATGGACGATAAACCATATGGGTTACTCACCTTCGGGTGTGGAGCAGTCCATCAGATTTTGTTCCGACAGGGACACCAGCTTGCCGGTCGACTTGAAGTGTTGTCCCTCCAAGGAGCCAGTGGCGGAGAAAGACCAGCAAGAGCCGCATTGTTTCTGGAAGGGATGGGGCGATATGTCAGTTCTTGGTTTCGTAGGTTGTAAGATGTACACATTATTAAAGTAACAGCCACACTTTGAGAACCAACTTTCCAACATGCAAAGACAGGTTTCGACATATTCTGGCTGGAAATATATCTCCGATGATATTGGTTGACAAACTATTTACATTCGTTTCCTCACCTGGGCCCCGTTCCACAAAGCGATCTTAGCGCTACGTCGATCGTAACTCCCATTCTTTAACACTGACTTACGACAATCGTAGCGCTAAGATCGCTTTGTGGAACGGGGCCCAGCTTCTTAACGCGCGCGAGGTAAGTTTGGTAATTTGTGCCAAATGGAATCTGTCTCAGCGGATAACCGTGACTTGTATTTCTCTAGCACTGACAATTTATTTTTGTAAGATGTACACAGTGTTAAGGTAACAACCTGACTTTGAGGTGACAGAATACAAAGACAAGGTCACACTTCTTCTTTGATATTTGGTGCGACTAGGTGATTTCGTAAAGTAAAATAAAATAAACTATTGGCATTCGTTTCCTCACCTGGTTCTTGACGGGAGTGACGTACCCCTCCTGTCTCCAGTCAACCATGGTGGGCAGTTCGACGTCCCTGGCTCTGTGCACCACGGAGGAGAGGCGGGTGAAGTTGTTCATGCGGTATCCGTTCATGTAGTAGGCGAACTCACCAGTGGTCTGTGAGAGGAGCACAATTAAAGAAATACTGTCCCGGTATGAACAAATACTACCCTGGAATCCAATTGTATGATTTTCACATCAAAACGAAACCAAAATTATAGAAAATCACATATGATATATATTTTCATGTATAACGGCGTTATGAATTCAGATACTTTAAACGTTTAAACATTTATATTTTATATTCTCATCTGAATAGAGAAGAAGTTCTTGTAGCTACTCACCCAATCAGCGAACTGATTGACACCAAGTTTGAAGGTTTGCTTTCCTTGGTCGAACTCGGCATTGTGCGTCTTGATCACCATAACATTGTGCTCATAGATGGATCGTCTGAAAACCAGTCAAATGTGTCAATTGAGAGGTAGGTCTTTGAAAGGCATTTAGAAGTGATACACATGAAGAAGAGAATTTATGGATGTCAACTTCTTTATTGAAAGGAACACAACGTTTCGGTGTATGTGCTTACTCCTTCGCCTGAAGAAGGAGTAAGCACATACTCCAAAACGTTGTGTTCCTCACAATAATAAAGTTGACATCCATAAACTCTCTTCCTTAATTTAGGGGATGGTTCAAATAATATGTCGCAGTGATGTATTAATAAATCAAATATATGCTCATCGTCACAATTCTTTTGAGAAAACGATCGAAGTGCCTCGCCCGAGGTACTGCTCTATGGGGAACTCATCTACAGACAAATAGGTTAACATCCCATGTTTGTTCCAAAGGGTTCCATAGCGGCTGTGCTTGTATGTACCATGTAGAATACATGTGAGTAGATCGAACAATTCGATGTATTTCAAACCCTTAACACCAATCACTGATACTCATACACACTGCCTGTTCCCTGCCTTACTGCACATTCACGCAGAGTAGGGCAAAGACAATACGATGGGTGGGGCAAACTTTCTCATTCACCTGATACGTTGGCTATAACCTATTTGGAATTTCTATGCGGTATCACGAACCGCTGGGTCAGCGTTGATGTCTGTATCATATACCATTCAACTGTTTACGTTTGAAGCATAACAGGGCCATTATTGGAAATACTTAGTGTAACTGACCTGAACATTTCCTCGCTGAAGTCGTACTGTTTGTTATGTGTCTTCTTGAACAGCTCCCACTCCATCGGAGGCATGGCTAGAGCCGCCACGACAACAGCAGCGAACACGACAAAACGCAACATCTAGAACATTCAAGAAATATATGTTTCACACATTGCCTTATTTATTGAACCATGTAATAACCATGAATTCAATATGATATTGTGTCATACATTAAAGTATAGATCATAAAAGAACATCCAGTGTGAAGAATGCAACACTATGAGTACTTATATTAGTTAGTGGATATTGTCAGCAGCTATTCCACCCATATGGAGAATCGAAACCCGGCCATCAATGTGAATAGTGAACGTTTTAACTATCATACTATTCCACATACCCTGAATTTCAGTTCCTTGCGATAGCAGTAGTATTCACAGTATATGAAATGCAATCAATTACTCTCTGTGTATATAGTCTTGTTATCACACCCTAAGATGGTGATTATCATATTTCGGCCAGTTCTGTATATCCATACAGCTGAAGAGGTTTAAAAACGTATAATTGGAAATGATTGCACACGGGCAACTCGCTCTTTGTTCGCTCTTTAAAAAACATTGACCCAGAGACAATATTCAAACAATTATATTAATGTAATTGCAACATAAATGAAGCATAAATTTCGATTCTTGCATTTTATCTATTACTATCAGTACATGAGAAGAGATCTTTAAAATGTTACATTAACACTTAAATATTTAAAACTCTCATGGCTTACCTTTGTGGTTGTGTAGGACTTGATCTCGGAACTGTGAGTGAGGCCGAGAGACGAGTGGTGGCTGTTCTTATATCCTCCCTATCACCCCGTGATCCGAGGACCTCGTGGCTGAGCCACGAGATTTGAGATCTTCGAATTGTGATGTCGAGGTACATTACACATATCGATTACATCCAAGTAAACATTGTCCATAGTTTTCTAAATGAGGTCAATATTCCCGTTATCCTGAGGTAGCATTATAAATAAGTGACAACTACCGCCAATGAACAGAAAACACGAGGGTTTTGAAGCTGCATATTTCCTGTGGATATTGATACATTGGATGGGCATCGGGACAACTGACCCACGGAAAACCGTTCTTCATCGCTTGAAAAATCAATATTAATAATTAATATATGTAGTGTAGATGTTCCTGTTTCAAACTGTTCGAGTTATTTGTTGAGAAAATCAATTAATAAACTTTAGGGTCATGTTTTAATTAAATGCATACATTGAGAGCAATACATTCACATGTATTTATTGCAAATACATTTGAAAAAAAGGAAGTAGAACATGGATTTCTTGATTCAAAACAAACTAAACTAATATCTATCCTATCACAATTCATGTAAGATATTGTGTATCCTCTCCATCAAAACTCATGTAACTTGTATCCATCCTATCAAAATTCATCTAACGTGTGCACTGATAAAAAACCATGGGGACACATGGAACAAGTCAAAATAGAGAATATATATATATATATCAGATATTATTTCACTGGTTTCATAATTTGAGATTAGGATCTCATTAGGGTTTGTGACCTTGGTTGGTGCTTGGGAATACCAAAAATAACACTTATTATTAGAGAAAATTAGTTGTGAATATTTGTTAATACCATGTAAATAGGATGTCTTTGGGATTTTAAATTAATATTTTTCAGTGGAAAGTCAAATAATCATTTTATGCATTCTATGTCAAAGACGACCACACTTGGTTAGAATCCGTGGTTATCTGTGACCAGTTCAAACTGCTGCCAATTTAGTGAACTTTGTCAAATTGTAAATAAAACTGTAATGTCAATTATTTATATATTAAATGTTGTTAAAAGTCAATGTGGGGAACTATATTATGAAGACTGTATTATGTTGTGAGTGAGTGAGTGAGTTTGGTTTTACGCCGCTTTTAGCAATATTCCAGCAATATCACGGCGGGGGACACCAGAAATGGGCTTCACACATTGTACCCATGTCAGGAATCGAACCCGGGTCTTCGGCGTAACGAGCGAACGCTTTAACCACTAGGCTACCCGACCTCCCCTATTATGTTGTGACGTCAACATGGTTGTTAAAACCTTAACGTTTATAAAACTTTACTTTATTTGTCATATTGTCCTCACTGATGAGATGATGAACACGTTGACCATTCATATTCAATTTTCCGTTTCCTTTTTGTGATGAGAGGTGCTTGCAGGCTGCACAAGTAGCAACATAATTTACTGAATACCCTGTTTCTGAAAATGCAGTCTTCATCTATTCAGTCTCACTTTGTGATGTGAGTAAGTTGCAAATTGCAAACATAACAACAAACTTTACAGTGTTTGTCATTTGGTCACACAACAATACTGTTTGCCATTCATGGCACACCGAACGGGTATTTTGCATCAGAGAACTTCTGGTTGGCACCCGTCACAAACACATGCAAAGCCATGCCAATTGTTCACCTGAAAAAAATACGGGAACATATGGAACAAGTCAAAATAGAGAATAGCATCGGATATTATTTCACTGGTTTCAAAATGTCCCTCACATGTCTACCATGAAACATTTTGAAAGCGTTATTGAGAACTTGAATGTTATAACCCTGATCACATTTCAAGAAAGAATCCTGTGACGATCTTTGAAATCTCCACGGAAAGAGCATGCTCGAATGTGCCTCAAAAGTGCTGTATATCATGTGTATCCATCCTATCACAACTCTAGTAACATCATGTGCATCCATCCTATCACAACTCTAGTAACATCATGTGCATCCATCCTATCGAAACCCATTTTTCATCTTATGCATCCATCATATCAAAATTCATGTAACGTGTGCAACCATCCTGTCACAACTCATATAACATCATGTGTATCCGTCCTATTAAAACTCATATAACATCATGTGTATCCGTCCTATTAAAACTCATATAACATCATGTGTATCCGTCCTATTAAAACTCATATAACATCATGTGTATCCGTCCTATCAAAATTCATATAACATCATGTGTGTGTCCATCCTGTCAAAATACATGTAACATGTGTATCCATCCGTTACAACTCATATAACACCATATGTATCCATGCCCTCAAAATGCATGTAACATGTATATCCTCTCCTGTCAAGACACCATGGAAAGACATTCGATGTTCTGTTTTAACTCACTTTGGCTTCTTCTGCAAATGTATAGGTGGTTATAAAATTAAAGCTCAGTTTTCTATTTTAATACTGTTCACGACATTGAATGTAAAACGTCAACGACAGTGAATAACCAGTCTCGATTATCTGACGAAACAGATAAAAAGCAAAATAGGGGTGAAACTATATAAATGGATCACTGAAAATCAGTGATGACACCAGGTCTTCGCAAAAGGGTAAGTATGTCCTGCTCTACCTTTAACACCCGCCACACATAACAATCTGCATAAACAGGCAACTAGTTGTTTGTTGTCTAACGTAGCACAATAGTACTCCTGCCATACGACGGTGGCCTGGAAAGAATCCAGTGATAGACCAGACAAACCAGTGACACGATATAGCGTTTACCGATTATGTTTAGGACATAAATAAAACTTCAAAAGTTCAAAGGTTCATGGTGATGACCTGTCATGGATGTAGAGGCGTGACCTACGGTAGTCAAAGCACCTGGGTATCCAGCTGTCCCATATAGTATTACAGTTTATATTCAGAAACAAAGGTACATGGGTATCCGTTTGACAAGAACTGGGTATCCAGTGACAATGATTATTTATGTCCGATACAATTCCCTATCATATGTTCCCGTGTTTTGTTGTTCAGGTGAACAACTTGCTGTTGCGCGTGTTTGTGACAGGTGCCACCGATGGGGCAGGATGCGCTCACATTTTCCCGATGACCTGGTATCATCAGTGGTTAATGGTTGGTCTTGGTTGGTCTGTTGTGTCTGTTTGTTTGTTGTTTAACGCTGCACTCAGCAATATCCCAGCTATATGGCGGCAGTCAGTAAATAATCGAATCTGGACCAGACAAGCTAGTGACTGACATCATGAGCATCGATCCACGCAATTGGGATACGATGACATGCATCAACCAAGTCAGCGAACCTGACCACCCGATCCCGTTAGTAGCCTCTTACGACAAGCGTAGTCGCCTTTTATGGTAAGCATGGGTTGCTGAAGACCTATTCTACCCCGGATATTCACGGGTCCGGTAGTTAATAGTGGTTCATAAACATAGTGGTTCATAGATTGGAATATCGATATAGCCGGAATGGTAGCATATTTTCCCGCGTGTGTTTTTCAGGTGAACAATTGACTTGCCTGTGCATGTGTTTATGATATAGTCGGAATCGTACAATGATGTCTGATGAATGTGGAAAGGGTTTTGTCGCTTTTATAATCATGTATGATGTATGATGTATATTTCAACCAACGTTTTGACACTAAATATGTAGCATATGAATGTGTCTATAAAAGCATATTATATGCAATTATGAATCCTTTAATGATGGTGGAATGAAGAAGGTATGTTATAGGTAATAACTTTTTTTCACAAGATTTGCCTCGTCTGGCCGTCATTGATACTGTTTGTTTTCTATGTTAAAAGAAGGATATGGGGTGCATATTATTGAACCTACGAATGTATGAAGTAAACAATTTCGTCGCAACTATATCCATTAAGAGCAAAATATTCAAAGTTATTATCAAAATAGTATATATTTACATATAAACGTACGCTTTGGGTTTTTTTACGTCACAGGAAACTAGAAAGCACGAGTACGTGTATCCACGAGTGCCCTGAGATGAGATCGAAGTGAGACGGGTATAACTGCCTTGAATTAGTCAATATATATTTGATGTCAGTGATAAGACACGGAATCATGTGCATTCCTGGACCCGTGAATGTTGCTGTACGTTGAACAAGAACTGATAGGAAAATGTGTCAATGATGATCAACATTAAGTTATTAATAAAATATATTTTATTCACATATAAAAGTGCAATCCGTTACTACACATCACGACATCACAGACAGAAAACGGAAACAAGAACACATGTATCCACGACGAGATCTCGCAGTGTCCTGAGATGAGATCTGAGAGAGACCGGGTTTAACGGCCATGTTGTTTAGACTGTTGGGTAGCTGGCCTGGGTGGCGATCCCGCACTGGTTCTCCTTGTTCCTGGACATCATGATGTATCCCTTCATTCCCCAGGTCTCGCCCCAGCTGCAACACAACAATACAGAAATGTGTATAACTCTCTAACGGCATAACAAATACAATCGGAGAAAATGCAAGACGAAAACTATTTGGAATACAGTGTAGGGCTTCAACAAGAACTCCGAAAAACCAGTGATCAAATGATCTCATGTAATCAGTTTAATTGACTCAGCCTCCGTGTTCTAGTGGATTGGGTGTCTGCCCGGAGAGCGGAAGGTCGATGATTCGATCCATGACCGCGTCATACCAAAAGCCTTAAAAAGGTGGTACTTGTTTCTACCCTGCCTGGAGCTCGGATAATAGGCTGGTCGGCTCGGAGCCAGTATATTGTGTCTGAGTGGTAGTCATGTGAAAACAAACATCAAACACCGACATTAGTCCGGACTGGTACACGCAGCCACACACATGTGCATGCACGTCGTAAAATGAGTGTCATAGTCTAGAACACGACGTTAAACCCCATTTCGTTTCACCGCGCCGCCTAGAATTGACTCAAAGTTGCCCTACACCACGCACCTGTTCTTCACCAACCAGTAGTCACTGCCACCCTCAGCACCGTATCCTACTGCAAGGACACCGTGGTCAAGCATCTTGGAGCTGCATTTCTTCTCATCATAAACTCCACTCTTGTACAGCTGGAACGATGGGTGACTGGCGTCGATGGCGACAGCGATGGGGCCCACCTGAGCCACAGCGTGCTGGAGGGACTCCTCTGAGTCTTTCTTAATGTCGACAGCGCCAGTGTCGGTTGCACCAACATCGGCACGCTTGAAGTGGCATTTTCCATTCTGAAAGGAGAACCATGAAATTAGCATTCTTTCTGTACCACAAATATTCAAGAAATTGTCCATGGTTGGATAATATATGCTGAGACACATTGATAGAATTGCAATTTAACAAATGTCATACACATTTAAAAACAGAATTATCAAACCTTTAAAGAGAAAAATTAGAAGTAAATATTACCTAGAAAATGAAAGGTTTGCATGTTAAATAGTATAAAGGTTACAGCTTTCCCTCGGGAAATCGCTATGTCAATATAAGAGGGGTGTTGTGAAAAAGATTATCAATTAATAATCTATTTTAATTCGATTCAATATATAGCTCAATGTCTTCACACTGACATTACATATAATCTGTAGACGATTGTTCTTACCTTTGCTTTGTATGGATAGCTGATCTCAGTATCAATACCCTTGTTGACCTTGATGTACTTGAAGGCCTGGTCCATCAAACCACCTTCACATCCCATGTTGCCTGGAACAGAGAGAGGAGAGGTTGATGTCCGTGTCTACACAGTTTGTACAGTAACTGACTCATATTGATAGCTGACTGGACACAGTAAAAGAAGGTTGATGAACTGCAGAAGCTTCCATGATTGACTTTGATTATCTTTCTTGCTCATTTAGAAGACAAGTAGATATAGGGTAGACCGCAGTAGACAAAGACAGGCTTGGAAGAAACCATCCATTAACTTATATATAGTGAGACTCCGGTCAGGACGTCTGTACCGATTCAAGATAACTCTCCTGATTCGTTTATTCACCTTCTTTCTTGGAACAGTCGACCAAGTTCTGTTCTGACAGAGAAACCAATTTGCCCTCCTTCTTGAAGTGCTGTCCCTCAAGGGAACCAGTGGAGGAGAAAGCCCAGCAGGAACCACATTGTTTCTGGAGTAAGGAATATTACTTTGATGGACAAAAACAAAACAAATCAACAAGACTGTATGGCAAGAGGGATGACTTCAACTTTCGAATTGTCAACTTTCCCTTCATGTAATAGTCCAGCAGCTCCAGCTCTACATTTTAACTTTTGAGGCACATTTGCGCATGCTCTTTCCGTAGAGATTTCAAAAATCGTTACAGGACTCTTACACGAAATTTGTTCGCTTAGCGTTACAACATTCAAGTTCTCAATAAAGCTTTCAAAATTCTTCATAGTAGACATGTAAGGAACATATCCAAATTTTGAAATCAGTAAAATAATATCTGATGCAATTCTCAATTTTGACTTGATCCATAGGTTTTTTTTCAGGTGAATAATTGGCTTGGCTTTGTATGTGTTTGTGGGGCAGCATATGCTTACCTTTTCGCGATCACCTGATATCATCACAAAGGGAAAGTGATTCATAAACACATGCTTATGATATAGCCGGAACCGTACAATGGACATAGAAATGGTTTTATCGCTTTTATATTTGATCAGTAACATTTACATGGATGCATGCGGAAAAGAAGCTGCCACAATCCAGATTAATTTTTCAATTGGGTTTTCGTTTTCCTTGTCATTATCCATGACACATCATAACCTCATAGGAGTACTATATTTGTCTCAGGTATGTTTTATTGGCAGCACCAACCTGGTTCTTGACGGGGGTGACGTATCCCTTGGTTCTCCAGTCGACTTGTGTGGGGAGGTCGCCGACAGAGTCGTTGCTGTACACTTGAGAGCATGGTGTTTTCATTTCCATGCGGTAGCCGTTCATCATGGCAATAAACTCTTTGTGTGACTGGGAAGGACATCAAGAGAGCGCATTCCGGTTTTAAATGAACTAATTTATGTCGACAATCATATCTTGAAAGATTATTTCCAAATATACCCTGACAACAAACTAGTTACTTCTACGGAGATGTCTTACGCTGTTTTGAAACTGTATTAACGGTCTGTCTACAAAATACATCACACTCTACAGATGGTGTATTACAAATCAACAAAATTATCATCGCCCTCATACTCTATTCTGACATCCCAACGTAACTAATTTGCCCCCATAACAAATCTCAAACTGATGCTACTCACCATGTCAGCGTATTCATTGACGCCAAGTCTGTAAGAGTGGACTCCCCTGTCGGCCTCCAGGTTGTGTGTTTGGATATAGTCGACATTCGTCTCGAAAATGATGCGCCTACACAAAAGGAAATGGTGATTAATTGTGACGTTTAAAAGAGTATAAATAAGGACGCTTGGAAGAGTTAGTGATGTTGCTGAACAATACTGTGAGAAATCCTGTTGATTTCTTCCTACCCTGCCTTTGTCTACCAACTCTTCACTCATTATCTACTAGGCACATATCTAACCTGGGTCGGCCTGCCCCAAGAATGCCTTCCATATGTCCCTCTACCTAATGTCTGCTTCCCTCTGTCTGTCTCTATCTGCCTTACCTATCTCGCCTTTGTCAGTGTCCCTCTACCTAATGTCTGCTTCCCTCTGTCTGTCTCTATCTGCCTTACCTATCTCGCCTTTGTCAGTGTCTCTCTGCCTAATGTCTGCTTCCCTCTGTCTGTCTCTATCTGCCTTACCCATCTCGCCTTTGTCAGTGTCCCTCTACCTAATGTCTGCTTCCCTCTGTCTGTCTCTGTCTGCCTTACCTATCTCGCCTTTGTCAGTGTCCCTCTACCTAATGTCTGCTTCCCTTTGTCTGTCTCTATCTGCCTTACCTATCTCGCCTTTGTCAGTGTCCCTCTGCCTAATGTCTGCTTCCCTCTGTCTGTCTCTATCTGCCTTACCTATCTCGCCTTTGTCAGTGTCCCTCTACCTAATGTCTGCTTCCCTCTGTCTGTCTCTATCTGCCTTACCTATCTCGCCTTTGTCAGTGTCCCTCTGCCTAATGTCTGCTTCCCTCTGTCTGTCTCTATCTGCCTTACCTGTCTCGCCTTTGTCAGTGTCCCTCTACCTAATGTCTGCTTCCCTCTGTCTGTCTCTATCTGCCTTACCTATCTCGCCTTTGTCAGTGTCCCTCTGCCTAATGTCTGCTTCCCTCTGTCTGTCTCTATCTGCCTTACCTATCTCGCCTTTGTCAATGTCCCTCTACCTAATGTCTGCTTCCCTCTGTCTGTCTCTATCTGCCTTACCTATCTCGCCTTTGTCAGTGTCCCTCTACCTAATGTCTGCTTCCCTCTGTCTGTCTCTATCTGCCTTACCTATCTCGTCTTTGTCAGTGTCCCTCTATCTAATGTCTGCTTCCCTCTGTCTGTCTCTATCTGCCTTACCTATCTCGCCTTTGTCAGTGTCCCTCTACCTAATGTCTGCTTCCCTCTGTCTGTCTCTATCTGCCTTACCTATCTCGCCTTTGTCAGTGTCCCTCTGCCTAATGTCTGCTTCCCTCTGTCTGTCTCTATCTGCCTTACCTATCTCGCCTTTGTCAGTGTCCCTCTACCTAATGTCTGCTTCCCTCTGTCTGTCTGTCTCTGTCTGCCTTACCTATCTCGCCTTTGTCAGTGTCCCTCTACCTAATGTCTGCTTCCCTCTGTCTGTCTCTATCTGCCTTACCTATCTCGCCTTTGTCAGTGTCCCTCTACCTAATGTCTGCTTCCCTCTGTCTGTCTGTCTCTATCTGCCTTACCTATCTCGCCTTTGTCAGTGTCCCTCTACCTAATGTCTGCTTCCCTCTGTCTGTCTCTATCTGCCTTACCTATCTCGCCTTTGTCAGTGTCCCTCTACCTAATGTCTGCTTCCCTCTGTCTGTCTCTATCTGCCTTACCTATCTCGCCTTTGTCAGTGTCCCTCTACCTAATGTCTGCTTCCCTCTGTCTGTCTCTGTCTGCCTTACCTATCTCGCCTTTGTCAGTGTCCCTCTACCTAATGTCTGCTTCCCTCTGTCTGTCTCTATCTGCCTTACCTATCTCGCCTTTGTCAGTGTCCCTCTCCCTAATGTCTGCTTCCCTCTGTCTGTCTCTATCTGCCTTACCTATCTCGCCTTTGTCAGTGTCTCTCTGCCTTGTGTCTATACCCTGTATCTGCCTATCCTATGCATGCCTACCCTGTTGTTTGGCTTGCCCATTTCTGCCTACCCTGTGTCTGAGTTATGTCAGCTTGCTTCTGTCTGTCTCTATCTGTCTTACCTATCTCTCCTTTGTCAGTGTCTCTCTGCCTTGTGTCTATACCCTGTACCTGCCTGTATCTCAATCCCTACCCTGTGTCTGAATTATGTCTGCTTGCTTCTGTATACCCCACCCACTTCTGCCTATTTCTGGCTTGCCCACTTACCCATGTCTGGCTACCCCGTGTCTCCTTGCTCCTGCCTACCTCGTATCCACATACCCTGTGTATGCTATGCCTACCCTGTTCCTTGATTGCCCTTGTCCTGCTACTCTGTGTGTGGTTGCTTTTGCTGACACTGTACCTGCCAATGCTATGGATCCTACCCTTTTCCTGGCTCGCCCATGTCTGTCTACCCTGGGTCTGCTTGCTTAGCCTACCCTATGTATGCCTACCTCTGGATCTCCTCCGTGTCAGTGTACTGCTTATTGTGTGTCTCCCTGAACAGCTTCCACTCCGTGTCCAGATCAATCCGGAAACTCAAGGCCACCCCCAACAACACTACAGCTAACGTCAGGCGGAACATCTGTTCGTGGAGGAAATATATGAATACATCTTTCTCTGCATCCTTGACATATATCAATAAGCAAAGCTACAATAATATTTAGCTGCTCTTCGATGAACAGTGTCACATCTTCTGGAAGATGCCAATTGCATATATGGATACTTAATGTATTTTGTATCCGAACGAAATCAACATCTAACACAAAATGCATGATACAATCAATATATTTTTGTAAACAGCCACAATTCTGCAAAATGGGTTAATTCAATTCCCTGGTGATAAAGCAAATGAGTAAATCGAATCTGCAATTTGGTCCATGAACATCAGTAGAAAACACTTGCTTCACATGATGGTGATTAATGATTGTATAAGTAAACGTTTCATCCTCAGAAACCGTTGAAGGATCACAATTATTGTCAAGTATATGGGTATGTACTTACTGTGGTCAAGTAGGTAAGGTTCCTCACAAAAAGTGGCGAGTGCTGAAGTAACACCAATATTTATATCTGTCGAAGTAAGCTCGTGACCCCCACGTGTTCTTCGAGTTAGTCTCGTTACCCCTGATAAGAGATGACTGATAATAATGAGACGTGGGAAATCTCCATCAAAATAAATACCATATGTTATGGTTCACGACCTTATCAAAGTTTCAATAGTGCTTGTCACTGACAGATTATTGCATACTGGGTAAGGGCCAATGCCAGGTTTAACATAACAAGTTAATGTATTCCTGTGGGTTCTTGCTCATATAAATAAAAGATATATATGTCACTAAGTACAGGTTTCATGAACCGAAATGAAGTGTCAGTGAGTATGACTGAACCCAGCAGTACACGACTTTCTGTTGCCTCTGGTGAAAACTTCAGAAACTGGGCAACAGAGGCATGTTGTAAAACTGATGACGTCAATCGCTGCTCAACAAAGGAACCTTCCACTACTTGTAAGGTACGCGAATCACTATGTTATCAGGAAAATAACCGGGGAAAGAGCCTCCCCAACCCCTTCCCACTTTAATAAAATAACACTGTTGTTTTCTTTAAATTTTGAACCTCAAGGTCACTTTTTTCCTCTTCTTTTTCGGGCGGGGAGAAGGGGCAGTTTCTCCAGGGAGCATATTTTCCGGTGGTAATTGACCGAGGCATTTTCTCCCGGAATCTAACAATATTTCTGGCAATTCTTGGTCAATGCAATGTAAATAAATGAAAGGAACTGTAAGTGACCAGTTTTTCATTCATTCGAGAACATTTATGTTTTACATACTTAAATACGATGGACAGATGGTAGCCTCTTTTCGCAGGCTTTATATGTTTTTTACAATTTTTGTAGGTTTTATTGTGGACTGGTCACCCGTATTCTAGTCCGTTATGTCAGCTGGAGTCCCGCCCGTATACCTACACACGTGCATGCTGCGGTCAGTAGGTTAGATTAGAGGTCATGTCTTACCCATCATGTGGAGACAAGAAGGGCAACCACGTGATGAACGTATTACAGGGCAGGTAGATAACAAAATTGTCAATATGATATGAAGTAATTTCCAGCATTATTACTATAGATAAATAGTCATTTTAATATTGAATTATAATAATAAAACGATGATGATGGTGATGCGGGTCTTAAACGTTTACCACATGGTGCTGACAAACCTGGAAACATAATCTGGGAGAACCGGGATTCGAATCCACAATCATAGGTTTCTGGCGCGCCCAAGGAATGCAACCCTGTACAACGAATTGCACCGCCTTCGACGACTGGGCTAACTGTGCATCCTTCTTTATCAGAGATTTAGCAGCATTTAGATGTCGAAATTGCATACCATACCCGTACATGATATATATGACGTGACCCTTGGGGCGGTCGGGTAGCCTAGTGGTTGAAGCGTTAGCTCGTCACGCCGAAGACCCGGGTTCGATTCCTGACATGCGTACAATGTGTGAAGCCCATTTCTGGTGTCCCCCGCCGTGATATTGCTGAAATATTGCTGAACCATACTCACTCACTATGACGTGACTCCAATAATCATATCTATTCAAAATATAAGTATGTAACATGCCCTCTGTTCATGTAGAGGTCTCCATCGAAAGCTCATTTCAAGCGCTGCTTAATCCCAACATGAAGGTAAGATCATTGTGCCACTTTAAGTCTGACAGGGGTTTTCCAACAGGAAATCCCGCGAAGTATTATATCAGATGAATGTTTTGCTAAATCTCAGATCTTTTTAGATAAACCTGATATCGACAAACTTTTATTTTATTCAGCGATGCTGGTGTTTAGATAAACCTGATATCGACAAACTTTGATTTTATTCAGCGATGCTAGTGTGAGTTCTATACTTGCCAAAGTCTGCTTTTTAATTCTTAATCGTAGAAAACATCTTGTATATGAATAACGTTTTACTATATCATCTTTATAGCATATATGTATGCATTTTATGATAATTTGTCTCTCATAATTCTTTTGAATGGTTCTGTACATTCTATCAATGTCAATTTTTACACAATTGTTTTATGTATGTACAGAAGTGAGACACTAATAAACTATTGTCTGTATCATGTGTGAAAAGCAATTCAATTCTGACTCATTTATGTCACGTGTAACTTTACGTCGTCCATCCTTTGGTAGACGCTCGAGGGCCTTCTTTTATCCCACACTGATATTTGCATGCTTGATAAAGATACACACAACACCCCTGGAGGCCCGTACAATATGTACTACTCAACGTTTTATAGGGATATTCGTAATGTCCAGGGCCGCCTTGCACAAAGCGATCTTAGAGCTACGACTAGTGTAAGCCTATGTTAAAACTAAGATCGCATTGTGCAAGCCCTGGACTCGGTTGTATCAAACCTTCGTTAACTTTCTTTCTTTCTTTCGTTGTTGTTTAACGCCGAACTCAGCAATATTCCAACTATATGACGGTGGTCTGAAGAGTAATCGAGTCTGGACCAGACAATCCAGTAATTGACATCATGAGCATTGATCTACGCAATTGGGATACGATGACATGCATCAACCAAGTCAGAAGACCTATTCTACCCCGGTCTTTCATTAACTCATGGCTACATTAAACCCTAATGATACAATAAATTCTTAATGTAGCATAGTTAGTGTCATCATTATAATCGGTTGTTTCAAATGTATGTTAGCATATCAATATCTGATGATTCCATCATGTAAGAGTTCCCGTTAACCTGTCAAACAATATGTTCGCTGTCATGTTTCTTTTTAATGACACGCTAATGATGCCCCAGAACATTCAATCAGTTCATGACGCGCTAATGACAACACGACGTCATTAAAACGTTAGTACATCTGGATTTAATGATACATTATTGAATGAAGGTTTAATGACACGTTAATGCATCATTATAGTTTGATACAACCGGGTCAAGGTTAGGACTGAATGTGGCTGAGTGCTGAGAGATGTTGACACAGGAATAGTATGCTACGTTGCCAAGAAGCTTCATCAAGTGGGGGCACGGGTGGCCCAGTTGTCTAAGGCGCCGCGATTCGCTGTGCAGAGTTGCGTTCCTTGGGTACGACAGAAACCTATGATTGTGGGTTCGAATCGCGATTATGTTTCTAGGTTTGTCAGTACCATACCCATGCTCGTGGGTTTCACCGAAGTGGTAAACGTCTGAGACCTGCATCACTTCGGGCTTTCCTCCAACATTAAGCTCACACGCCGCAATATAACTGGAAAAATATTAAAAGCGGCGTTGAACCCAACTCACTCACTCACTCACTTTATCAAGTATTTCTTCATGTTTATTAAATTAATAATAAATTCATCTTTCAATACGCTGATGTTCAAAATCTCATTATCGCTATCAATGGTGAATAGTATATTAAAAATAGATTTAAGTCATTTTGACGTTTCATCATTTTTAATGGTTATCTCATCTCATGAACCAGCATCTGCAGAGGACCAGCCAGCTAGGAGACATTAATATTAGGTAGACCTGTGACCCAGCTGACCCTGAATGTATTCACTACATGTTCCAATCGCATCACTGTTTTCCTCGTGTTATATTGGTTCAATTCATCCGGTTGTCATTGCACAGCTTTTGGGGTCGTGCTTTATTTGTTTTAAGTTTGAGAAAGTTGGGATGAGTAATAGTTGGAAAGATATACACAAACTTTTAAAAGAAACTGTATCTGTGTCTCACATATGTATAATGACATGTGCACATAAGAAATACATACAAGATAAAAGGTTTAAAACATTCCTTACTGTACATTATTTCACTAAACATGTCTGTGTTATTTGGGACAATCATAAGAGGGAGCCACGCTCTGTCCGGAACTGGTTTACTTGCTCCAGAGCGTTTACCCTCCTCGTCTGCAGCCGCTAGGAGATGAAGGGCAGGGTACCAATCTAGCTCTATCCGACCTATTTCCCCATACAGCATTTATCTGCAGTGAAAAGTTGACCCATTTCCGTGTTGCAGGCATGTCTGTCGAGAGGGACGGGGAGAGGCCAACAGCATATTGCAAAGCGGGAAACGTTGACCAAGTTTCCGTGTAGCGAGATACTAGCACTTTTGGACAGTGTGAATAATGGACTGTCAGGCTACAGGAGTAAACATTTCAGCATCTGGGAGGTAACTATCATGGAGATGTATGGTTCATGATTTACCACGCACTAACAACGCTGTGGGTTTCAATCTTAACAATAACTGCATGTCACCACTGATCTAGTTTATCAAAAAAAAATATTACAACAATGAAGCTTTTACTTTAAAATATTAATTATGAAAAAATATTGATACCTTTACTACTGTAGATATATCAATGTCAACAGTATCATGCATATCACTAAATGTGTCAACTTAGTACCCCTTGTTCCTAGAAAACAATTCTTCAGCAACCCATGCTTGCCGTAAAAGGCGACTATGCTTGTCGTAAAAGGATCGACTAACGGGATCGGGTGGTCAGGCTCGCTGACTTGGTTGATGCATGTCATCGATCCCAATTGCGTGGATCGATGCTCATGATAACAATCACTTGATTGTCTGGTCCAGACTCGATTATTTACAGACCGCCGTCATATAGCTGGAATATTGCCGAGTGCGGCGTTAAACATCAAACCAACCAACCAATCCTAGAAAACAATAACTAATGTTTCAGGAAGTCTTTGTTGTGAAAACATATTACTGGTTTTGTTTTCATTATATGTTTGTTTTCTACTTTTATAGTACATAAACATTTAAACTGAAATGTGCCATATTCTCATTCCTGCTTCTGAAGGTACCACATGCACATTACAGTTGGTGTTATCTTCTGGGTTACACGTGTGCGCTTTATGACGGTATAGATAGTTGCATCAACAGGTAGGTGTGCTACACAGTGTCTTTGCGCCGTGTTGATCCTCTCGATCTTAGTTATCTTGTTTAGAGATGTTAGATAAATATGTTTATTACTTGCCCGTGAAGAGATCACCCGTTTAATAAACATACAGCTTTATTACAAATTGTGTAATACCAAAACGCGTGCTTATGTACTCTCGGAACACGTTTCACGAACAAATATTGAAAGCTCTCAACATCCCTTGGCGTGTTCAACGACATTGTGTGTGGAGA